AGTTTGTGCTAAGCAAGAGTGGTACTTTTATTGGTAATGGTTATTGTAATCAGGGACTGTTTGTTCTGAATGTTCTTGATATTATAAATGAAAAACCTTCTTCTGCTTACTTGGTTGATTCCTTAGAAATGTGGCATAGTAGATTAAGACATGTTATTGTTCAATACTTAAAACAGATGAAAGCATGTGGATTATTATCTGAATTTGCTAATATCAAATTTGATAAATGTGAAGTATATGCTGAAACAAAATCCATAAAGAAACATTACAAACTTGTTTCTAGAGATAAACTGAGTTGCTTACCCGTATTCATACTAATCTTGGTGAATTTAGGAGTACTATGTCTAGAGGAGAAAAGCTTTACTATATTACATTTATAGATGACTTCTCTAGGTATACAAAAGTTTATCTTCGAAGAAACAAGAATGAGGCATGAGACATGTTTTTAAAATATAAAGCGGAAGTTAAAAACCAACTTGACCGTAAGATATAGAGACTTAGGTCAGATAGGGGAGGAGAATATGAATCAAATCTATTTCAAAATTTTTGTGATAAACATGACATCATACATGAGACCACTCCTCCATATTCTCCGGAATCTAATGGAGTCGCTGAAAGGAAAAATACAACCCTTAAGGAAATGATAAATGTCATGCCTGTGAGTTCAGGTGCTCCCTTGAACTTGTGGAGGGAAGCTATTTTGTTTGCATGTCATATTCAGAATAGGATGCCCCATAAGAAAACTGGAAAGGTACCATATGAATTATGGAAAGGCTATACACCTAGCCTAAAATATTTCAAAGTGTGGGGGTGTCTTGCCAAAGTCCATGTGAATGAAACTAAAAAGAGAAAAATAGGATCTAGAACTGTAATTGCATGTTCTTAGGTTATGCTCAAAATAGTGTTGCTAGTAGATTTCTTGTTATCAAAAGCAACAATAATCTAGTAGCTAAAAATACTATTATTGAAAGTAAAAATGTTGTTTTCTTTGAAGATATTTTTCCTATGAAAAGTAGCTTTGAAAATTTTAAGGTTCATAAGGATTCACAAGATGTGGTTTGTGAAGACTCACAATAAAATCCTAAAAATTCTAAAAATTCTAAAATAGAAATTCGGAGGAGTAAAAGAGAGAAAGTCCACCAATTTTGGTGATTTTACACATTTCTTTTGGATAATGATCCAGTTTCCTATAATGAAGCAATATGCTCCAGAGATGCACCATTTTGGAAGGACGCGATCAATTCTAAATTGAATTCTATCATATCCAATTATACTTGGAGGTGGTTGATTTGCCACCTGGTGCTAAGCCTATAGGTTGTAAGTGGATCTTTAAAAGAAAGCTTAAAGCTGATGGTTTAGTTGAAAAGTATAATGCTAGGTTGATAGCTAAGGGGTTCACCCAGAAGAGTATTTTGACACTTTTGCTTCTGTAACTAGAATCTCTTATATTAGAGTTCTAATGTCTTTGGCAGCAATTCATAATTTATTTATTCATCAAATGGACGTCAAGATAGTTTTTCTGAATTGTGATCTAGATGAAGAAATATATATGAATCAACCTGAGGGTTCTATCGTACCGGGAAATGAGCAAAAAGTATGCAAGTTAATTAAGTCTTTACATGAGTTGAAACAAACGACAATGGCATGAAAATTTTGATAATGCATTGTTATCTAATGATTTTTATATAAATGATGCAGATAAGTGTGTTTACTTTAAAACATTTGAGAATCATTAGTATGTCATTATCTGCCCTTACCTGGATGATATGCTCATCTTGAGCCCTTGAATTAATAAGTGAAACAAAGAAGATTTTATCCTCCCAGTTCGATATGAAGGATCTGGGAGAAGCTGATGTAACTCTTAGGATTAAAATCCTTAGAAATACAGATGGTTTCACTTTGACTCAAGAACATTATATGGAAAAAGTTTTAAAAAAGTTTGAATATTATGATAGTAAACCTGTGTCGACACCTTATGAGGCAAATGTTCAACTTAAGAAAAATAATTCACATAGTGCTTCACAACCTAAATATGCCCAAATTATTTGAAGCCTTATATACTTGATGAATTGTACAAGACCTGACAGAGCTTATGCAGTGGGCATATTAAATAGATACACCCAATGTCCAAGTCAGGAACATTGCACAACCCTAGAAAGATTGATCAAGTACTTAAAAGACACCATTAATTATGGACTAAGATTTGAAGGTCTCCACCAGTATTAGAAGGGTATTGTGATGCAAACTGGATCTCAGATTCACAAGACATCAAGTACACTAGTGATTATGTGTTTACCCTTGGTGGGGGTGTAGTGTCTTGGAAATCATCCAAACAAAACTTGATAACTCGGTCTACCATGGAGTCTGAGTTAGTTGCCTTAGATAAGGCATGTGCTGAGGCTGAATGGTTGAGAAACTTTTTAGCAGATCTTCCCAATGATTCTACTCCGCATCCTTCTGTGTCTATGCATTGTGACTGTCAGGCCGCAATTGCAAAAACCAAGAGTAATATATATAATGGGAAAATTAGACACATGCGTCTAAGACATGCAAGTATTAAGCAGTTGTTACGATTTGGAGTTGTAACTTTGGATTATATGAAGTCAGAGTTAAATTTGGCCGATCCTCTAACTAAACCACTTAATCGGAGGCAAGTGGAAATTACTTCGAGAGGAATGAGACTACTGCCTAATAAATAGAGAAAGATTGGCGTCAACCTTACCTACGTGATTGGTGATCCCATGAAGAAGGTTCAAAGGGAAAACAAGTCACTCCTTATTCTGACAGTAGTATCAATTTCTCTATGAGACGTCCCTACCTATGGTAAGATAGTACATTGTATACATATAGTATATTTTCATATATACATGTAGTACTTGATAAACTAAGAACAGATGAGTTAAGCTCTTAATGGAGAGTGCATAAGCCCAAATTATAGCGATGTATTTTATACACACTCGATGGATATCCATCTATGTGAGTGTAGAACTGGGTCGGTTCTTATGGGTACCTAGGCCCATACTCTAGAGCACTCATGAAGCACAGGAAGCGCAGGGCCAAAAAGCGCACACCCGCATGAACAACAATATAATGAAGGTGTAGCGTGGCCATGAGTCATCTATTTCATGCTCAAGGGATATTGGTTCAAAGAATTTATTCTGCCATGTTTTTGTGAGATAAGATTCATTGCCCTGGGACTAGTTCAAGTCGAAAGGCACTAGTATCTAATGCATTGTCTCTTCGATTCTCTCTGACATTTCTTTTGTTATTCTTGGTTCCAAATGATGTCCAGTTTTGTGTATTTTGAAATAGTGGGGGGTTGTTGTGTACTTCAAATACACAAAGGCAAAAATGTTTTAGTCCCGCATTGGAAAAAGAGGTGGGGTGTTTGTTATTTATTTTGCAACCTTTGGTTTTCCCAACGTTTTACAACCTTTGATGTTCTCAACGTTTTTCAACCTTTGGTGTTCCCAACGGTTTTTAACCTTTAGTGTTCCCAACGTTTTTCAACCTTTGGTGTTCCCAACAGGTTCAACCTTTGGTTTTTCTACAGTTTCAATTTTCATCTATAAATTGAGACTTGTTCTCCTCAGTTGGGACGCTAAAAACCTTCTGTGCTCTATCTTCCTTCCTGTCAGAGAGAGATCTTTATTGTTTTTTGTAGAATAGGTTATTAGAGTGCACTTTAACCTGTTGTCCGTCGTTGAATCATGTGAGGAAAGACGCCATTGCAGCCTTTTGCACCGAGGAGGGGCGAAATGTTTTCTTAAGGACAGTGATTACACGCCTCGGCAATTCGCACACCCTGTGATTTGTTCCGGCCATAAGCAATTTACACCAATAGTTTTCTTGTAACTTTCTTAATTAAAGACACAGATGCCCATATATTCTCATACAAATGCTATAAGGAATACATGTTGGTGGTATGCATGCAATTAAATGACGACATTTTTAAGTGTTGACAAGGCGCTACATAACTGTTGGTAGTGTAGTCTCGTTCTCTCTTTTTTTTTTTTTTAAGGAACCATCGCCTCTCTTCGTCCAATACCCTTTTTCCCTGAGAACTGGCAAGGGGTTGGAAAATTCTCTGTCTCAACTCAAAAGTTTTTTTTTTCTATATATTGTTACTACAATTTTTTTTAAAAGTAAATATAGGTGTGGTCCTTGTAGACTGTTCTAATACTTTAGGGTGCATCTGCATCTCCTCAACGTGGTTTCGCATATGATAACATGAGAGGCTAACATACAAATGTTATTCGGAGAATATAAAGAGCTTATAATGGAAGGTCTTGGTTCCATAAAATGCGAGGTTTTTTTAGCCTGTATCAGAGTTGTAGGACATGTGATGCAGGTGTCAAGTATTCAGGTGCTCTGAGTGTTTGGCATGGAATCTTATATCATGACATGACTTTATACGTTTGCAAGCAAATATATAGATGGCCATATATGTAATTAGTAATCAATAATAAGGAAATTGGATAAGAGTTCAATACAGACGGTTAATATGACAAAATCTACTATTAGTACTCTGCACTGGAATCCAAGATTGTGATTAAGTTTGTTGTTATATTTTAATGCTTAAAGTGTGGTTGGAGTGTCCTGAAGGAATCCAATTGTTGGAGCGTGCACCGTTCTTAAAAAAATCTGAAATTGGAAATGTCCAGGAAACAATGCTTTATTACATCTAAGGAAGTCACCAACACTGGTATCTGCTCTGTCATTGGAAATGTCCAGGAAACAATGCTTTATTACATCTAAGGAAGTCACCAACACTGGTATCTGCTCTGTCTCCTTCTAGAATCACTTATATTCAGTTTATTACATCTAAGGAAGTCACCAACACTGGTATCTGCTCTGTCTCCTTCTAGAATCACTTATATTCAGTTTTCGTTTTTCTATATCTCACACTGTAGATGTCTAGGTATTATATTTGTTTAACAGTTAGCATGTCTTCTTGTTTAAGGTTTTCATTTTTCATTTGACAACCAGTTCTTCTGCAGACATTCAGGTTCTGCATATCAGAATGCCATTCAAGATGAAGAGAAATCCTCGCCAAGTGAAGTGGACAAAGGCATACAGGCGATTGCAAGCGAAGGATATGACACAGGTAGAGGAAAACCAGAGCCTACTTTGAATTAATTATCATCATCCATAACTTGCCACCTGTGTTCCTCTTAAAATTTTCATAAGCTACTCCTTTGACTTATATTTTCTTGAAGGAAAAGACTCTGCCTTTGAGCCTTTGAGTTTGAGAGGAAGAGAAATAGGCCAGAGAGATATGACAGAAATGTCGCGAACAATGTATTCATGGTCCATTAAGAAGATTGACAAGGTCAGAGTAAGTAGAGCGGCAAAAGAGGCAAAACACCATGAAAAGAGGTTTGTTTTCTGTATTATTATGTTAGAACTTTAGTTTCTCACTGTAATTTGTTGTTTTGTGGATGAGCACAGGATGAAGGGAAAGAAAAACAAAGAACAGAAGGAAGCAGTGAACGAATTGGAGCAGAGCATCATCCTGGTCAAAGCAGGATGATGCTCTTCAACAGGATTCTTCACTTACTCTTCCAACAATCAAAATCAATGTGACGCCCCGTGTTTAGTCCCATGTAAGGAAATGTATGAAAAATTTAGTGGCTTAAATAGATAAGCCCAAGAATCAAGTGTAGTATCGGCTAATCGATTTTGGCAATGGTTTGAGCCAAACAATGCACTACGCTTGAACAGCACCAACGGGCCCGCTGGCCGGAGGCATGACATGGTATCAGAGCAGTTGCCATTTAGAATTATAGAGCTAAGTGCTATGTGGGGCTAAGTGCTTGTAGGCTGTCTAAAAATCACAATGGATAGCTGATCCCTACCAAGCTCCAACGATGGAAGTCACAATCAGACGGCTGTCTAATCACTGTATTCGCAATCCCACAATCGCTACAAACACGGCCTCATTTCCGAGATGATTGATCTTGATGGTTGTGACAACAACATGACTAATATTATATTAGCAACTATTAGAGATGCTGATGAGCAGTGCAATGATTTCAGAAATAAAAGGCTGGACGTAGTTGGTGAGTTGCTTGGTAGAGAGCTGTGGGTAAATATTCGTCCAGAAGACACTATGGATGTTGATTCCCGTCAAGTTCCAACAACGGAAGCTACAATCAAATAGCTTTCGCGCCGACAATCGAAAGCTGCAAATAGAGGACTTTTCACGTAAATCGAGGAGAGTTACAATTCAACGACACTTCCGATAACTGATGAAAACTCTATTCAGCAGTCTTCGCATTCTGCAGTGAAAGTTACAATCTGACGACTTTCACATTCCACATCAGCTAAAGCTAGGATTACTGAACAACGGTCCTTGCAACGCTTTATAGAAGAAGTTATAAGTCAACTAGCTCCTTCTAAAACGCGGATGTCATCCCCGCGTTACAATTCTGGAAGTGTAGGCGACCCCCGCGTTTCTAAGTACAAGCTAAACGTGGGCGACCCTCGCGTTCGTAGGGGTTCAACCAACACCGACCCCCGCGTTTCCAAACTATAATAAACCAAACGCGAGTGACCCTCACGTTCATTGGTGTTCAGCTAACACCCAACTTCGCGTCTCAATCAGATCAGAGGTTGGATTCTTTATCATCGAAACCACTCAGGTTTGGAGATTCGGTAACGACAGCAACGAAATCTTTGGAGATAAGATTTTTGAATCAATCTCAGAAGATCAAATCTGAGGGGATTCGTCAGCAACAGAATGACAGCTTGATCATTAACCGAATTTTCGGTTCCAACAACTCTACTCATAGAGTTCAAACTCATTCAGAGTTCTTAAAAAAACTCATTCAGAGTTAAACACAAAACTTTCCACAGAAGTTCATTGTTCCCACGAGATAGAAGACGGTCGGATCGTCAACGGAGAGCAAATTTAACACGAGCAATCGAAGGAGGCATTCCATCGCTACCGAGAAGAACCCAGTTTTAAACAAAGGAGAGAATCAAATTCGTTCTCTTCTCTTTTGTAATCAAATTGTAATCAGAATCAAAGGAATACAAGTCAATTTTCTTTGTTCTTTTCTTTGCAATTTTCCCTATATACAAAAGATGGCGACTCCGCTGGGGACTAGCTTTTTCGACGAAGAAGTGGTGGCGCAGTCCGACGTCCACCTCATGGGAACCACTGTAGAAACTCTCGTCGTGGAGTTTGATCAAGCTAAATATGAGGAAGCCTTATCCTCTGGATCGCTTAGCCCCAAGGCTAAGCATAGTGTCCGCAAGATCTCCAAGGAGATCAATTCTGTTGTTGAAGTACCGAAGAAAGCCCTCTCCTTCGTCCAGAAACTCAAACTGGCTCTGTTAGCTGAAGATCCCACCTCCGCGTTAGCCAAACATGCTTCGGGTCACAAACGGCCTCTGGAGGAGACGAGTTCTATGAGCGTCAACGACACTGCTGCTAAGGCTTTGAAACAAGCCAAGAAGAACGCCGCTCGCAGACGAAAAAGATCCATACGTCGAGCACACTTGCGTGAAAGCCGAATGATGGCCCAACGCGAGGATCGCGTTCCTAAAAATTTTCCAGAACCTAGCGTTCCCAAGGAAGAACGCTCACTTCGCGACAACGAGCCCGACTATGAGCCTCAGCTTATACAGCTGAAACGCGACCCTGAGTGGCGCGTTGTTTCTTCAAAACGCAGCCCTCAGAAGGGAGCTGTCAAAACTAAACGCGACCCTCAGGTGCGCGTTCAAACGAAACATGATTCTCAAGAATCTGTTTCACCAACTAAACGCGACCCTCAGGTGCGCGTTCAAACGAGACATGACTCTCAAGAGTCTGTTTCACCAACCAAACGCGACCCTCAGGGGCGCGTTCAAACGAGACATGACCCTCAAAGGTCTGTTTTATCATTTAAACGTAGGCCTCGGCCTAATGTTTATAAATCTCAACGCGACCCTCGCGTTATTTCTCAAGAGCGTGGCTTCAAAATCCACGTTCGACAAGAACCAATCTCACCCACCCAAGGGCAGGGGGTTCCATCTCCGCCTCCGTGCCCGGGGAAAGTTTCCTCCCAAGTTCCTGATCTGCGGGAATTATTGTCGAGAGGAAAACCAGCAGCACAAACAGCTCACTCATGTCAATGTGAGAGACTTATATCTGCTGTCCTGTCAGAATGCCATTGTTGTGCATCCACACCTCGGCAATCTGTATTCGACAGGTTGACAAACGTCGTTAGACCTGCCAAACGACAACGCCGATACAAAAAGAAGACAGCTGAAGCGAAATATTCCGAAGTCACCATCAACATGATCGGCAGAGGAAAAGCCTCGCATTCTGATTCTGACGAGTCGCAAAGAAGTCATTCCTCAATTGTTAGGGAAATTTGTGACCAGTTCGAAGGAGTATATCGGAATACTCGGACTCGGACAGGAGCTATCCGTCCGGTTGATTATCAAAGATTGGCCAAGGGGGTCGTTTCCGACGATGAACATTCGGCAGTCGCCGAATCTCAATCTTCAAGTTCTGTTGTTGCACGCGAGGTCTCCGCTTACACGACAGGGAACCATGAAGACATAGCCAAAAGAGTGGACGAACATCATGTCATGCTCCAGGCGCAACAGGAGACACTTCTCCAATTAAAGTATATGCTGGCCCAGCTTCTCGCTGAAAAAGGGCAAAAACCCGAGTCTTCCCGGAGAACTATGTCAAAGGGAAAGCAAAATGCGCACGAACACTCAGATCGTGAGACTCACAACTTCGATTCCTCTTCTGACAATGAGAAGGAGATGGAAAAAGAGCTGTATCCTCAGTCCACCAAAATGGATGAACTGAAAGCTCGCCTCAATGCAATCGCCAACAGAAGTGAGCTCCGTGAAGAAGGAGTAGTGCGACCTTACCCTGCCGAGTGGGATACAGCTCCCTACCCACCGAAATTTAAGGCCCCTACCTTACAACCGTTCGATGGCACAGGAGATGTGGTAGCAAATGACGCCATCCTGACCAGGCTATTCATCGGTACCCTTAAGGGTGTAGCTTTCGAATGGTTCATGAAACTGCCTGCCGGATCCATCCAGAAATGGGTAGACCTGGAAAGGCTATTCTTGGCCAGGTTCTTTGAGGACGATACAGAGGTCTCAGTCTCAACTCTTCTCGCCACTAAGCAAAAGAAAGGAGAGTCCATCAAGGCCTATGTGGAAAGATTCTGCAGCATGGCATTGCGATGCCCCTCAGGTATGACCCAATCAACTTTGGTTGAAACTTGCAGGCACAACCTGCAGACCCAGCTCCTCGCTCAGATGGGCGTAGCAGAGTGTCGCTCCTGGAGACAACTAGTTTCACAAGGAGAACAAGCTGAAGAGATAGTGGCGCGTGTCAAAGCTGAAGAAGAGCCGCAACCCAAGCCGCAGCAGCAACGCAATCAGCAAAATGCCCAGCGGTCTAAGGGAAAAGAGACTTTAGCAGCTGACTACACGTGAGTACCATCGCCTAATAAGCAAGGCAAGGCGCCCAATCAACAAAGAGCGCCCAAGCAATATTCGTTTAAAGAGGAGCATGTGGATACCTTATTCCAGTTGCTTCGAAAGAACAACAAGCTGCAATTGCCTGAGATCAGGAAGCCGGATGAAGCAGGGAAAGTGGATGACCCTAATTATTGTCGTTACCACAGATTCCTTGGACATCCTACAAAAAAATGCTATGTCTTCAAAGACATCTTGCAGAATTTGGTAAATGCTAATGTGCTTACCTTAAAATCTGAGCAGAAGACCGTATCCACCAATATGATAGCGGTCTAGTTTGGTGACTTCCCCCCGATGGTAACTGCGAACGGCGTTGTCCCCATTCGCAAGGGCGAGATGCACTTGAAGAATGTCGACTTGCATAATCGAAAAGACAGGGGGTTGGTACCCCTCACTACCCCAAAAGGGGAAATCATGTGGGTCAACCCTGATCTGCTAAGAGATCAAGAATGGACGAACACCTCGTCCAAAAAGAAGGAAGGCAAGGCTAAGTCTTCCAACATGATTAGCCCCTCCATTACTGAAAATGATGATCACCTTAAACCCCTTACTGATTCAGAAGAGGAAAGGATTGTCCTGGCGGCATACCCAGGAGACAACCCTGGCACTCGGTTAGGAAAAGCTTACTTGAGGGATTACAGCCAAAACGCTCAAGAGGTGGAAGAACAGCCCCAAGATGCTGGGGGTTCTGTCCTAAAGAAGCCGGTCGATAAAGGGAAGCAAAAAGAGCTCCGGTTCAACAAAAATCTCCACCAGGAGCTTGGAGAGTCGAGCGCTCCCTTCCAATTCAATGTCATGGCTCAGTTGGCCAATATACCGGCCAGGATTACCCTATATGAGCTTCTGAGGTTCTCCAAAACTACCAAGGAAGCTCTGATCGAAGCCTTAAAGAATACGGAGAGCTTCATTACTCAAGTCACTCTGATTCCTGAAGCTTCTGAAGATCAACCTTGTCTGTAATGCCTACAAGCAGCGAGAAGTCTACCATGCATATCATTCACTCAGGAAGATATGCAAGTCAAGCACGAGCATGAC